CTAGATGAGTCATCTACCATTCATCTTCTAGGATTAACTCTTACTTCTGATCTTTCTTTTAAACCGTATATCAAATCCATTGCAAAATTAGCATTTGCTAAGGTTGCATCTCTTTATCGAGCTCGACACTTTCTTACTCCAGATTCTATTCTCTATCTCTATAAATCTCAAATCCGTCCCTGTATGGAATACTGTTGCCACATCTGGGGCGGATCTTCTAATGATGCTCTTTCTCTTTTAGACAAGGTGCAAAAACGAATTGTAAACATAGTTGGACCTGCTCTGGCAGCCAATCTCCAACCTTTGTCACATCGTCGTAATGTTGCTTCTCTTTCTCTTTTCTACAAATACTATAATAGGCACTGCTCTAAAGAGCTAGCGTCCCTTGTGCCATCTACTAAAATTCATTCTCGTGTTACTCGCCATTCAATTAAGTCTCATCCTTTTTCTGTGGCTGTTCCTAAGTGCTTCAAAAACTCTTATTCTTCTAGTTTTTTTCCTCGAACATCAGTTCTTTGGAATTCGCTTCCTTCATCTTGCTTTCCTGATTCATATAATTTGCAATCTTTTAAGTCATCAGTCAATCGTTATCTTGCTCTACAGATTTAGTCTTTTCTCTTCCAGTAACTTCCAACTCTTATAGTGGTTGCTTGCAGCCTTGTTGGAAGTGAAGATGTTAAAAAAAAAAAAAAAAAAAAAAAATGTAAATGGTTAACGATTCGTCACTTGCATTTCTAGTTATTCTGTGCTTTAAAATCCATTTGGCAATCCCTGTAACAAGTACTCCATTATGAAGATCTTCATTATAGTGAATCCATTTTTTTGTGAAAAACTGAATTCCGGATTTTCGGAATTACAGGAGATAAAATCCGGAATTCCGGTTTAATTCCGGAATTATTATTGAAGATTTTAAAAAATATAAAGAAAAGAAAGAACATTATTTTTTAACATAAATGTATTTAGTTCGAAACAATAAAATTAAAACAAATTAAAAAATAAGGAAATACTTAATATTAAAATATTTCTGAACTACATAAATAAAATTGCAAAATGAAAGTTCAATTTTCATTTTGATTTTTGAAAAAGCTTCTGAAAAAGCACAAAGTATCCAATGTTTTGTCGTTGAGCCTTGATCGAATTTTTGTTGAAAATGCTCCTGCAGCGGAAAAAGCGCGCTCTGACTCCACACTAGTTGGTAGAATTGTTAATAAACTTTTGTAAAGATCTTCCAAAAGCGGTCCGCGGGATCCCCCTAAGTAATAAAAATTAAAATTTTTAGAACGGAAGAAATACATAATATAAAAACAAAACAAAAGTTTTTTTTGATATTTTTATAAAAACAGTTCTAAATAACTTCAAAAATAAAATAAGAATTAAATAATCGAAATTCTAAATTCGAAAAATCAGGAATTTACGTTTTTGAATTCATGATTTTTAAAAATTCAAAATATGACAGAATTTCGGAATTCCGAAATTCTGTCATATTTTTCACTACTTCATTATCATCACTCACATGAACCTCCAAATCTAGATTAGAACTCTCAGTTCCAGTAGTATTTTTATGATCAGACACAAAATAAAAGTCACTATAGTTCTCAATTTTAATGTTTTTGAAATCAATGCAACTCTCAACTCCATTAATATTAGATTTGACTTGTGAGGAGTTGTCAGTTTCTTCATTTACAATTACATTGTTTAAGGCTCAATTACTTTGGTGTCATTTCTTCAAGTATCGATTTTTCTCTTGTTTATTAATTTTTATTATTCTGAATTAAACATAAATTTTAGTAGATTAACAATAACAAGATAATAATGAAAACTAAACACAATGAAAAAGAATAAGAACAAGAAGAAAAACTAAACTTTTATTAATAAAAAAACAGGATAAAACTTATTTAGAAAAGTTAATATTCTTATATTTCCTAAACTTTGAAGAGTTAATATTCTTATCCTCTCATCAAACTACATTTGTTCTATGTAAGTTTTTTACTCATTAATCTCATATAGTTAAATGTTTTTATATAATTGTCATAACTTGTTTCTCTGCGCAGCGGCCTTGTTCGTCAAGGTTCGTGTTTCGGAGTTATAGAGTTGCTTGAGCATTAGGCTCTAATCGACTTGATATTTGTTTGTAATTTCCTTGCAACTAAAGTAAAATATTTGACATATTACTCTTTCTTATTTTTAAAAAATCTAAACTTAACAATAAATTTTGATTCCGTTAAAGCAATATAAAATAGTTGCACAATCCTTTTATAAAGGGTTGTGCAACTTTAAAAAAGTGTTTAGAGGATATTAGTGTACTTGTAAAATAATAGTTAATGACTAAATTTATTTTCAACTAAAAAGGGATTAAAGTTATAAATAGAAAATTGAAATGACAGATGCTTTTAAAGCATTTACATGAATTATAAAAATATGAATTATAACAAAAATATAAACCTTTATAAAGTATTTTATAATTATTATAAGATGTCTTTGAAGTATCTTTAATTTATTGTGAATTTTTGATTCGTATTTTTAACTTTTATTCCACACATCGGCTTCAGCTTTTGCCCTTTTTACATATGGCAAACTATATTTATAAGCAAAAAAAGCAACTTCATTTTAAGTCCAATGAAATGTTAGTCTAACATTCATAACATACAATTTACATAACCTTATTCATTTGTTATATTTTTTTGAACGACCGATTTTTGATATGCCTGCCTTTTCATATAAAAAGTTATTGGTTTTTGGTAAGAAAGTGTCTTTTGCTCAAATGGTCAAGCGTTTAAGTAAAATATAAGTAGTTCAGATTGGAAGAAAAAACACCTAACAAAGTAATCGCTAGTGTTAAACTTTAAATTGTTTTTCAAAAATTGTTTTTATAAATAGAAATGTTTTTATATGTTTATAAATGTTTATAAATAGAAATGTTTTTATAAATTTAAATTTTTATAAATAGAAATGTTTTTATAAATAAAAATATTTATAAATAGCTCTCTTTAACTTAAAGAGAGCTATTTATAAAAACAATTTTTGATTCTTCACTTTGTGAAAATGTACCATTTCAGTTTCTTTATGTACCATGCAGTTCATGTTATTAGAAAATATATTAACTTTCCAAAAATCTGAACTCAAAGGTTTATCTTTTATTCAAAGATATACTTTTGAGTTCAGATTTCTGGGAAGTTTATATATAAGAAGAAAAAATTTATTTTATATATAAGAAGAAAAAAATTTTTCGCATTTTTGATTTTCGTTTTTCGTTCCAGAACAGTAATATAAATAAAAGAAATAAACAAATGAAATAAATAAACAAACAAACAAAACTTAAGAATATATGTAATACATACTATTGTAAAAGAACCTATCCCCCCAATATTGTAAATAGACCCCTGTTGTAATTACTTTATAATTAAATACATGTTAACCTTATAAAAAAAAAAAAAATTTTTTAAAAAAGTTTCTGTTCTTATTTCGGCTCCGGACCATCTCTCAATTGGTTATGGTGTTGTTAGAAAGCAGAAACAGCACAAGATCGAAACCGTGGTAGTCGATAGAAGTTCTTGGCGTAGTCTCTTTTTCAGTGTCTCCGAAATCTAAAGGCGATCCGGACGTAAAATGGAGATAAATCATTAAGTTGGCGCTGCTCAGTTAGGGCTAATAAACCCTTAAATAGGCCATAATCCCTTAAATGGGACGAAAGTGGGAGTTTCAGCTCCCTAATAAAGCCGCCTTCTAGGGCTCTGTGTAAGTCTAATTTCAGCTTCAGGTATCTCTAGTTGGTCGGTTAAAAAAAAAAAAAAATGTTATGAATCATAATTTGTTATGACTTTAATTCTCATATGAAAATTATTGCTTTGTTGATTATTATTTAAATTTTCTAATGAGTTTATCTTTGCAATATATGATAAAACCTTTGTAAACTAAAAACCTTAGTATACTAAGGTTTAAAGATAAAACCTAAGTATACTATAGATAAATTCATTAGAATATTTAAATAATTTTAAAACATATAAGTTTTAAAGATAAAACTTATAAGTTTTATTTTTAAAATTTTTAAAACTCATAGGTTTTAAAGATAAAGCCATAGTATTAAAAGGTTTTATTTATCCACTATATCCTAGTATACCCAGGTTTTATCTATCATATCATATAATTTTTTATATTAGTATAGTATAAAAATAATGGGCCCTCTAAATTTGCTAACTCCCTCCTTTCCAAATTAAGGGTGTGGGGTAGCTTAACCACGGCTCTGAGTTAATTGGCCTAATAACAGGTGGGTTTTTTTTTGTTTGTTTTTGTTGTGGGGGACCCCTCCGACCAACTAACCACGGCACTGATTGAAGTTATGAATATAATAAATAAAATTAATAAATGATTGTTTTAATCCTTATTTAATTTGTTTTACCAGTTAGAAAACAAAAAACCCACCCTAAATAACCATGAGAAAAAAAAAATTAAAAATACATACACATTATTAATAAATAGTTGCGGAATCTACTTTCATGTGAAGGCGGATGAGTTATCTAATTTAACTAGTATTTTAACAAAGTTGAATCATTTAAAAAAAGTAATTTTTTCAATTCAAAAGTAAAATGTCGTCTTCACTTAAATAAATAGTCTACATTCTTTTCTGAAAAAAAAAAATCAAAACATGTATTTAAATTTGTAATTTTCATGGGTGGGTTCTTCGACACCTATCTAAATTCGTTTTTTGTATTTTTTGCATGAAGTTTTTCAAAAAGAAACTACGTTTTTTTTCCGTAATAAAAACTCACGTGACTAAACTTCTTACCATTCTAATATATGTTTGTATAATTAAGTGTAGGATACAAAAAAGTTAATTAAAATTAAATATTTAAGTTTAGTATATAAAAAACATTAAAATCTTATGTGTTTTTTTTTTTCAAGTGTTGCTATAGAAACTTGTTGCTATACAAACGTATGTGCTTTCTGCTAAATGAATTTTATTTGCTTCAAAACATTAATTATTAAAATTCTAAGTTTTCAATCATTTTTTGTTCCAATAGATTTTTATTAAACTTATTACACTTTGTATGAAGACAAGAAGCTTTTTTTTTGGTAAGTTATAAATAAACTTTTATCTATTTTATTTTTAATAAAGTTTTTTTTTTAATTTTTATCACAGTTTTATATTTTCCTAAAGTTTTAAAAGTTGTTTACACGTCTTACTTACCTTAAGCTACCACACTTTTCGCAAAATCTTCGGTAGCTTTTATAAATTATAAAGTAACGTAGTAAACAGTATAATTTAGTGAAAAGTTGAAAACAAGCTAAATGTCTTATTATAAATTATTTTTGTATTTCGCGAGTTTATTTAAGCAAACAAATTGCGTAAAAAGTGTGGAAATAATTTCAATGTTTTTTTGGAGTTCAAAATTAAAGTATACATTTTTTGTATGGATTTTTTTGTATTTATAAATTAAAAACAAGAAATTAATAATAATTTAAAAATTCATCGTTATATAAGACGAGATCTCGTTCTAATTAGTCATAACATTCTCGAGAATCTTATGACTAATTATTTATCTATTTATAATTATTTAGCACGTTACGCTTTTCTTTTTAGTTTTTATTAATTAAACGTCATCAATCGAAGTTTAATCGAACGTATTAGAAAAAATAAGTTTAATTGAGTTGAATTTTTGAAGAAATAGCGCGAAGAAATATAGAGAATGCAAAATATATCAAAACGATACAAACCATCATGGGCACCTGGTGAACCAGGATATAATCCTTTATTACCATATGGTCCAAAGGTTTATTTGGCTCGTAAAAAAAAACCAGATCCATGGTGGGTGTTTGCATTGGAGGTTTTTGTTGTAGTTGGGGTGCTTTGTATGTTTGTTTATATGTATTATTACATTGATCACTTACACACCCATGCGGCTCGCGTTTACGCTCATTTAGGAAGTTCTGACGCACAACATGTATTAGCACATAATTATTTACACGGAAGAGGAGGCCTTGAAAAGGACGAAGAAAAAGCAATGTATTGGTTTAAAATGGCTGCGGATGCTGGACATCCAGAAGCTGGATATAACGCTGTAGCAAGTCACATGCAAGGTTACAACATTAACTTGAAAGAGCGAGAAATTGAACAGTATTTAAAAAACGCTCATGAAAATGGTATTGAAGATGCTACGAGAGCGTTAAAAGATATGCTGCCTCATAAGTATTGAGAAATCGATTCTCTTTTTCTCTATTTGACTTAAATTTGTGTTGTTTGTCCAACGTAAAAAAAAAAACAAAAAAGCAGAGTTTTTCAATAAAACTATTTTCTGCACACATCTTTTTTATTTGTTCTGTGGTAAAATTTACAAGTTAGTTAAAAAATAGTTTAGTTAAAATGTAAAACTATGTAAATGTCTTTTATAATGCATCAGTAAAAGTAAATTCATTCATTTAGCATATTTAACTATTTATTTTTCTGAATATACTATTTATTTCGATTCAACACCGATATCAACAACGAACATTATTAACGTTCAGCATATTCATGTCAAATTAAACAGCAATTAAATTAAACACTTTCTTTTTTTTTTTTTTTTATCTTTTTTTTTTACATAAAATTTTTAAATCACAATTTTTACGGATACTTTTTTTACAGTTTTGTAGAAAACCTTTTTGTAAAAAATTAAAAAAAAAAAATTATTTTGTTTTAAAACGAGCGCATTTCAAAAACATTAAATCAAAAAAAAAAAAAATTTAAATATTTTTTATATTAGTATAGTATAAAAATAATTTACAAATTTTTTTTTTTTAATTTTTTAAATACGCTGATTATAAAGCAATTTTTTGTTTGTTTAGTACACATAAAACACAAAAAACACATTGAAATATAGACTCACAATGTGGGTCTGTATGTCAATATGGTTTGAGCCTATAAGAATCTAATGTTTCTGAAAACAGTACCTTTAAAATCAAAATTAGTATAAACGATAAGTTTGACTATGATTCTGGATTCATTTTTCTGGATTCATTTAGATAAATATTAAAGATGTAATGATATTATGTTTTCAATTGAAACTAGTGATGACGCGGCGTAACATTTAAAGAACTGCACATTAAATTTTATGTAAACATACAGTTTTTTAGAAGAAATACTTGTAAAACTTGATGTTATTTACCATAAATAACATCCTTATAAAAATAAATTAGCTAAAAGGTTATTCTTAACAAAACAAAACAAAAAAATTATATAAAAAAAAATAATAACAATAAGATGTAGTAATGTAATAAATTCAATTTTAATTTGCTAAATTAACTTTTGTATTTATTTCTTTTTCTAAAAGTGAAACAAAGCAAATAAACTTAACTGTAATATTTTATGAAAACGGATCTATACGGTTCACTTCCTAAGTAGATTGTTTTGAAAAATCATGGCCTACTTAAAGTAATTCAAGTAGGCCATGGTAGAATCTTTCAGAAAGTAATGAAATTGATGATCTCCAAAAGATCAAATATTATATATTACGCTACTATTACTAAAGGACGGTTTACGTTCTTTCCTTTTTTTATGTCAAAAACTCAATATAGAAAATAAATGTTGAATCTTTTTTTTTAATTTAAGTCTTAATTATAGGATCATGGTTATACAAAATTACTAGATGAAAATATAGAACCATTATGCAGAGTTGTTAGTCCTTGGCCATGGCCTCGGCCTTTCCTTATAGCCAAAAATTAAGAATTTGGTCTTTGTCTTGCCCTTGTAATATGTAGTCTTGGCCCCGGCCTTGACCTTGTTAACAACTCTGCAATTGTGTTACGTAATTACAATGCTAAACTTATGGTTATATGTAATTAGACTAAACATTAAGATCATCGTTATGTAATTATTAGATTAAATAACTTCTAATACTTGAGTTTTTAAATTTTTTTTTTTAATATTAATTAAGTTTTCAAATTCAAAACAATTTTTTTGTTAAAATATTAGATCAAAAGCTTATAATCGTGTTTTAATTATTTTAATTATTTTAATTATGACCAAATATTTTCTAATTACAAACTTTGTTAACAGATATGGTCTTTATATAAAAGAATCTCTTGCTATTAACAAACTATACTGATGAAGATAGCAATCAAAATCTCCCTGTTTATTTGCTAATCTAGGCAGTGACGGATCTAGGATTTTGTGGTGTTTGAGATAGTTTGCAAGTTTCCCAGCAAACACAAAACGTTCAATCAACGTTGTGAACGTTCAAAAACGTTCATAGAACGTGCTTGAACGTATGCAATGTTCGTTGAACGTACTTGAACGTTTTGTGTTAGCTGGGTTCCTTACATGAAGCAAACTACAAATATTTGTATGTTTATACTTATGTCAAATAATGAGGCTTTGCAAAAAATTGCGATGACTGTAGATTGGGAACAAAAAAACACTTTGACTGTGACTTCGATTTGATACTATAACATCTAGCCATAAAATTTTGAAGCATAAATATATGATGTGAAGCATAAAATTTTGAAGCATAAATATATGATGTGAAGCATAAATATATGATGTAAGCATAAATATGCGATGTGAAGCATAAATATATGACGTGAGAAAAATATATTTTAGTATATTAACTTATTTATTTTTTTATTTTTTATGATAAAAGAGCTGAGAATATAAAAATATATATCTTTAATTGGTCTTTTAGTTTTGCTCGAATATGAAGTAATTCGGCTCAAGGTAAAAATTAAAATGTTTTAAAGCAACTTTATTACAAAGAGGAACTCCACAAAATGAATCGACATCTCACAATAGCTTAAAAATATGATTGCATAATTCAATTATCATTTCTTTAGAATTATCTACTTTTTATCTTTTGACATTATATAAGTTATGGTGAGTGAATGGAGATAAAATACTTTTTCATTAGAGCCCACGATACGGGGAGGGGGCAGGGGCACTGGCTCCCCCACTTTTTTCTAAAAAACTTTTTTTTTTATCAAAAAATTTCTAGATAAAAGGGGCTTTTAGAAATTGACTATTGTGCACCTCCACTTTGAAACCCTTGTCGTCGGCTCTGTTCATTTGTTTATAAAACAGAGTATTTTAAAAACAGTTATCAGCTAATAAATTATCAAAAACATTCTTTTCAAATATGAGAAGCTTGGGCAAATAAAATTAAGTTTCTAAACTTAGTAAGACAAACAACAAACTTCTGCTAACGGCAAAGATGCTCCAGTTTATATCTTTTGGTTTAGGTATATAATTGATTCAAACGGTTTAGATTTATACTTGATTTGAACGAGTTGGAAATATAATTGATTCAAACAATTTTTATTTAAAGCATTCTAAATTTATACACTACTTCTGTATTTTTAGAATCTTTGTTGCATTGTGATATTTCCATCTGTAGTTTTCATCATTATAAAAAAAAATTTATTATTTATATTTAATTATAATTTAAAGTTTGTCTATAAAAAGTAGGGATGTGCCGAAGCTTCGGCTTCGGCTTCGGCAATTTTGCCGAAGCTTCGGTTCGGCCGAAGCCAGGTCAAATCTTTGGCTTCGGCAAAAAATTTTAAGTAATTAAAGTTATAAGCTACTGTTGTACAAGTTATAAAAATATGCTAATTGCCAGTGTCTAATTAAGTTGTAAATTCAGGACTACAGAGTTAAAGTTGGAGTCTATACCATATACTTAGTATTATTTACTCCCAAATGTCTTGTTATGGAGGGGATGATAATAAATAAGTAGAAATATTTTGAATATAATAGTAAAATTAAGGAAGGTCCTCATACACTTTGAAGGCTTCCAAGTGTGACTTTAGATGAACTGAATCAGCATTTTTATGCAGAATAAAAACTTTATAATTTAAAACAAATTAAAACTTTTTAAAAATAAAATGGGAAAAAAACCTTAATTTATATTATGTAACGAATTTATATTAATTTTTGTGTGGGATTACCGCAAATAGAACAAAAATTGATATCAACATTTGACCTATAAACCTTAGTAATCTCACTTTAAAGAAGATTAAAGATACGTTGCTACTATTTTAAATTCTGTGTATGTTTAATTTTTTTAAATTTTATTTAACCATAATAATAAAAATTTACAAATTTTCATTGTAAGATTACAGAAATTGGTTAGGTGTCACTTATATAGTTACAAACTAGTCAATGGAGTGACACATAAAAAAGATAAAGTTCTCAACAACAAAAAAGGAAGAAAAGCAAATGAAATATAAATGAGGAGAATAAAAAAAAAAAAAAGTCAACCCAAACTATATAAATTAAAAGAAAAAGAAAAACAATGATAATAATTATCCTTGCTCTTTTATTAATATTATGAATACTTCTAAATCGAATTTATATATTAAACATATAAACTTATATTCTGGTTTCTTCTTAAGCTATGAAGACTTTTAAATTTTATTTAAAATAAATTAAAGGTTAAAGCTTTGATTACTTTGAGCTCTTATAACAGTTTAATTCAAATAAATATCAGCCTGCTCAGTCCCTGTTTATTTATAAATATAAAGTAAATAATAACATAATTATAAATAAAAAATTTATAAAGTATTCTATGTATTATTTTATTCAAAGCTCACTCTACTGAGTTTTTAGATTACTATAGAAGTTTTTTTCACAGATAGTTAATATTTAATTTCAGATAATGCAGATTTATCCATTACAGAGACAGAAGAAGAATGAATACTAAGATTTCAGAGCGTAAAAGATTAATAACAGCTTAAGAAAATGTTATGTAGTGTAAAGTTAAAAATAATCAAAAAAAAAAAAAAAAGTAACTTAAAAGTGTGTAAAAAAGAAGTTAGAGAGTATTCTATCAATTGTACTTTTTTTTAGCAGCAGGTTCACAACAGTTGTAGTGGAATACAAAATGATCTTAACTTAGGTTTTTTTTTGTTTAGAAATTTTTCTTTTAAAGAATACAGAGAAGTAAAAAAAAGATATTGAAATATATAGCAATAAAAAGATAAAGTGTGTTTGTAAGATTTTTTATGTTGTAGATACAACTAAATCAGCTAAGAGTGTTTATATAGAGAAAGAGTGTTCAAGTGTAAAAGATAAATTTACTTGAGTAATATTGAGAGATTTTTATCCACTCTTAACAAAAGGTGCATTAAAAATAAAAATAAAAGATACAGCACATGAAAAGATGCGTAACAGTAATTTATGGGGAATAAAATTTGAGGATGTTCAGCTAGCACACGATAATTAGATAGAGCAAACAAGATGATTAAATAGAGGATTAAAAATTAGATGATTAGATAGAGGATTAAAGAGAAACGATGTTTACATAGAAGAACAATATGGCTATAAAAGATCAAAAAAAATAGCAATAATCTTAGAAGAATATTGGGAATAGTTGGAAATATATGTGAGTTACTGATAGAAAAAGTAGAACTAGAAGTAGGAAAATCTGGGGAGAATGTTTAAAAAAAGTTTAAGTTTAAAAAAAAAACAATAGGTGCGGTGAAGTATCAGAAACGACATAATGAGAAACTTTCAAACAGGGGTGCTGAGAGTTTTTGCCCTGCCTGGGGCAGCAACCCTGACTTGTGTCCTCATTTTTATACATTTTTTCTATATTATTAGTCAAGGATCTTAGTTTTGGAACCTTTTTTGTTTTACACTCTTGCTGATCTGAATGCTGATTAAATTTTAAGCATATATAGTGCCGAAGCTTCGGCTTCGGCAAAGTGGCTTCGACGGCTTCGGCAAAATTTTAGCTTCGGTACATCCCTAATAAAAAGTAAAGGCATGTCATAAAGCAAAATAAATTTTTAACAAAAAATAAATGTTTAAAATGAATAAGCTGTCAATAAATGTTGAAAAAACAAAAATTGTTTTAGTCTCCATTTTAAACCAGTCTCAAATTTTATGTTAATTTATATTAGTTTTATGTCAAATTTATGTTAGTTTGGTATCCATCAGCCTGTGTTATATTGTAACAAAAGCCAAAATCTAAAAACACTCTACTTCGCAAAATTTGTCATTTACACGAAAATAATGAAGTTTAAGATCATGGGCAACAGAATTAAACCCATTTTGACGCTTTCTATTGGAAATGTTATTCACTAAATGAAATCTATATTTACTGGAAGAAATGATTGAAGATTTACATAAATGGATTTATTTTGCTAAAAAGTTAGTTTATTTAAATAATAATATTTTAAAAACATTGTTTTAGAGATGCCCGTCTAATTCTAATTTTGTACTTTTTTTTTGGATTTTATTTTTCTCAAAACAATTTTTTTTGGTAAAATATGAAAACATCTTCTTCCTCACCTCTTTTGCTACTAGCATCACATTCTTCTGATCTTTCAATTTAATTGCTAAAACGGAAGTTTAAATAAAGCAAATATTTCCGCGCATTTGTTACTTGCATTCTTTTGCACAAATTGAAAAAACTTATTGTATCTCTTAAAACCATTAACAGCCTGATTCAACAGCCTGATTCTCCCTTAACTTACTAATTAATAACTTTCTTTGAAACGTTAACAATGGCAAAGGATCCAGCTTTCAGTGCCAACAAGATTTATATGAGTCAGTTACTTTCCTAATCGCGAACCTTTGTAAATGAACCACGTCTGATTATTTCTGGCCTAACATTGATAAGAAATTTTCTAATAATTTTATCTTTGTAATATCAGACAAATCTCTGTTTGCTAATGTTGTTCATTCAAATTTTTGACTCTTCTAGCAAAAAAAAAAAAAATTCCAGAGCTAATTAAGTCTGCTATTTTTTCGAAACCAAAGGACATACATAACACTTAAAAGAAGTTAATATTTTTATATTTTTCTTTCTCATACACTGTGAGTATCTTGTTTCAAATTGTATCAAATTGGTTTCTTTTGCATGCAATGGCGCATAATTCCAATCATTTTTTTTATAATCTTTACGTTCTATATCTTGCTTCTTTAAAATATAACAGAAAGTAACTTGCGTGTGTGGAATTACTTGATCGATATGTAATAACTGAATTACTGAGCAAAACTGAATTACTGAGCAAAATTAACAATAGCACTTTTAAGGATTTAAAAAAGAAAACTAGATCAATAAGATTTTTAATGAATCTAGGATTGATCTTAAATGTAAAAACTTATATACTTATATTATAATTAAGTGTATATTTTTATTTGATATGCAGTAGCATATACAATATTGGACAAAACATTTGCAACCAACATCGAACAATGCTAAAAATTCCTAATTTTACATGTCTTAAAAATGAAACAAAGTATACTACCACAGCAAACAGTTCAGGAGTCTGGAGTCATAGCATGCCATGACATGAGCAATCAGCTGACAGGTGAGAGCACACAGGCACAATTTCGTTGACAAGTTCCATTTTGCAGGGGACAAAGCAAGTGCAACTTTTTTGGTTTGTTTCATTTTCTTAAGTCTAATCCGTGTCAACGTCACAGAAGTTTTTTAATAATTAAAGGAAGTATCCAGAGGTTTCCAGAAGTTTCCAGAAGCATGCAGAAGCTTCCAGAGGTTTCCAGAAGAAACATCTGGAAGCATCCAGAAGCATCCAGAAGTATCCAGAAACATTCAGAAGCATCTAGATGCATCCAGAAGCTTCCAGAAGTATCAAAAAGAAGCATCTAGAATCTTCCAGAACAGGTTCACACAGGTTCATTTTATTATATAAGAGACATGTAAACCGACATGTAATTCAATCAGTATCTGAAAGTCAATCAGTCAGTATTATCAATACAGTTTATCGAAGTGAGTTTTATCGAAGTATTTATCGAAGAACATCAATGCGAGAAGTGAAATACAACAAGTGTTTCATTACATCAATTCAGTCCACATCCAACCAAGACGTTGTGATCCACAGAGCATTATTGTATCATCACAAGGTAAATGTAACACGGTAAGCCTTGAGAAGCGTGATTATTTATTTTTATTATTTTTATGACTTCTAGTGCAAAAATAGCTCCCGACAGTCTTGGATTGGAACTAAGGAAGAAAAATATTGGCGATTACGTAAATGGAATGTCACAAAAAAGTATTTTTGATAAATATGGCGTGAAAAAATGGACCGTATCAAGATTATGTTCCAAATATTGTTCTACAAGAAGTTGGCAGCAGATAACAATGGTGAAAGACCGCGTTCCACCACTTCTAGAGAAGATTTTATGATTGTCAGATCCGTCAAGAAGGATCCCTGGATATCATCAGTTAAGAGCAATTAGAGCAGCCTGTATCGGACCAAACAATCAGACGACGTGCTATTGAAGCCGGATTGTTTTCTCGACGCCCTGCAAAGAAACCGCTGATTTCACTAAAGAACCAGAAGAAAAGACTCCTGTTTGCTGAATCTCATTATTGACTGGAATGTGCAGAAATGGCGAACTGTCCTGTTCAGTAATGAATCGAAGTTCAACATCATTAGGAGCAATGGCATTTGCCGTGTACGTCGACAGGCCGGAAAACGCCTCAATTTACGTTACTGCCATTAGACCGTGAAGCATGGTGGAGGCAATGTAATGATCTGTGGGTGTTTTTCTGCTAACTTTCTTGGTCCAATACATCGAATCGATGGAATAATGGACTGTTTCATGTATGAAAATATCCTGAAAGATGTTATGATACCTCCTCATGCTGAATGGAATCTGCCAATAAAATGGGTTTTTCAGCAAGACAACGATCCGAAACACACTGCAAAAGTAGTCAAGCAGTGGTTTCAAGACAGCCATTTATCGGTGATGGATTGGCCGCCTCAATCTCCGAATCTCAACCCTATCGAGAACCTGTGGGAGATCGTCAACTGCAGAATTAATCGTGACGGTGTTCGTAATAAGGATCAACTGTTTGTACAAATCGAAAAGGCCTGGGCAGCGATTCCACAAAGTTTCATTGATCATCTGATCTAATCTATGCCTCAAAGACGCAAGGCTGTGATCAATAACAAAGGATTCGCCACAAAATATTGATAGCGAAATACAGCTTGGTTAACATTTTGTGGAGTCGCACTTGTTTTGTCAAGAAGGAAATCAACTTTTTTAAATACTTTTGATTATTTTATTAATTTTCGTGTACAAATAATGAACTTTGTGATGAATAAAACCTGAAGAACGTTGTCTCTAAACAGTTACATAGTTATTTCTCTAAATGGAAAAATGCATCACTTTCATATAAAGAAACTAAGTTAGCATTATTTGGTTGCACTTGTTTTGTCCGATACTGTATATGTATGCATATGTATAAATGTATAAATGTATGTATATGTAGCATATCCATACATTTGACATGTCATGCGTGTTTCTTTTAAAAACGTTTGACTAAAGATTCTAATATTTGTGTTGCGAAATTTATTTTCATTTCTTTAGTTAGTACATAATACTTTTCAAAAAACATGTTTGATTTTAAACCTTTTAAGCCATCTGGGCTCAAAGGTTATTGTTGAAAAAATTGTGGCGACACCAATCATCCGTACAATCTTTCAGCCCCCCCCCCCCCCGTACAATCTTCCAGCTGTTTTTATTACTCTTATTGATATCTTTGATTGATATCCTTTACTTGTTTGATTTCACTAACCGATTTCCTTTCACTTTATTTACTTTATATCTTTTTAAAATAAAAATACGCTGTCAATGTTTACCTTTTAAAACGTTTAAAGAAATATGATTTCCATTAAAATATAGTTGATGGCAACGGTAACAAAATGATACAACAATCACTTTTGAGTTTATTCGTTTTTACACAAAGTTTATTTTCTATTAATGCTTTAGAATTTAAAAACTGCGATAAAACCGACTCCAGCAGTTCTTTTTTTGCATTTAAATACGCTGACTGGAACAACACAGTTATTGATTTTCAACAGTACAAAGGAAACGTTTCTTTAGTGGTAAATGTTGCCACTTTTTGAGGTTTAACAACACCAAACTTTCTTGAATTAAATGCACTTATTAAAAAATATTCAAGAAGTAATGGATGTTCGCTCAATGTCATTGCATTTCCTTCAAATCAGGTAATCTCGTTAATATAATACAATAACAAAAAACAATATTTTGTGATCATATTTTGAAAAACGAGTAATTCTTAAAGAACCGTCACTAAAACTAAATTTAAATCTTCATAAACTGATTTATGGCAAATTACAGCTGAAAAATTATAGTAGCATCATGCTAGGTTATGAATTTAATAAAGAAATAGGACAAGTTTAATTATGCAACAGCCCATTACACATTTTTAAGCAAGCTATTGCATAAATAAACATTTATTTTTTTATTCTTATTCTAATTGCTAATACCTTTATTGTTATACATCCAGCCATTATAACTATTAGTTGAAATTGTTTTTAGCATAAATCTCTGATGTTTAGTTTTATGACTTTTAGCATAAATCTCTGATGTTTAGTTTTATGACTTTTAAGAGTGTTGAGAACTAACTTTTATAGAGGCAGTTGATAAAAAACTTGTGTGATTAGAAGAAGCAAAAAATAGAGACGTCTTAAATTACAGATGACCTTAGACTTAGACACTGATGTTGTTTACTGCCTAGTTTAATGTTGAGAAAATTAACGTAAACTTTAAAAACTTTTGAAGTAAATAAGGTCATTGTTAAGTTACTTTTGATGTATAAAATTTTTTTCAACGTTAGAAAAAAGTCCTAACCTTGCTTTACTTAAACTAGTGGCGATATAATAGGTAGATACCTAAGAATAGATAAACAAAATTAACTATTTTCATTAAAATAAGTTTTTTGTTTAACACTTCAAACCAAAAGAACTAAAACTTAACTACCCATGCACTTTACAATTGTTTTTCTTCCTCACGTAGTACAATAAGAATTTATATTATTTTCAAGAAAAAAAATTATTGTTTAGTATAATTATATTTATTTATATTATTGTATATAATTAGTGTTTATTATATTATAGTAAATGAATATAGTATATTTGTAGTAAGGTATGACTATGATATTTAAATATTTTGAAAATTATTTAACTTCAAATAAACTTATATGAAAAAAAAAAAAGGATTTTCCTTTTACTTTGGTTGCACTAAAGTGCAGCCGTGGCGCAGTGGTTAGAGGGCTTGCTTTATAAGCAGGAGACCCAGGTTCAAAACGAGCTCTGGACATATTTTCGCGTCGCGGTAAGGAAGGAGGCGTGAACTTCCTGGTTAAATGCACTTCCACGGTGTTCTGCACCTAAATAACAAAAAATAAAAAATAAAAATTATTTTAAGAATTATAATAAAGTAATAAACAAAATTACAACAAAAAATATATCTACTACAATCAGAGGCGATTTTAGAAGGGTTAGGAAATGGATTTTCATACCCTCCTCGCTAAAGAAGGTGATTTTCTATATATAGTCTGTTTTTTTACAAGTTTATTTAGCTAGTACGGTATTTAACATAATTCAGTCGGTTTAATTTTACTTTAAAGGACTTAACTAGTCGGTACTTTTTAAAGAGTCACCCCCATTCCTCTCTCTTATTATTCGTAGAATCGCCTCTGAATACAATACTATAAAAAATTTATCACTCATACTCTTATGCAGTTTCTTTTTGATATTTTCTAGGGGAATACCGGATTGAAAATTTTTAATTCCGGTCGTAACCGGATTTGTTTCGGAATTATTAGATAATAACTTAAAATTCCAGAATTCCGACCAAAACAAGAATTGTATTTATGTATTTTTTTTGGATGGACTCAAGAAAAATATTTTATTTTTAAAATCATTTGTTTTCTATTTTTCCATTTAGGTTAAAACTGAAATATTTACTGTATTAGGCATCCTATTCTTTTTAATTATTTAAAATTTAAGTGGTATTTAAAATAAGACTATTCTCAGACGCATGTAATTTTGATGAAAAAGAGCTAGTTTATTGCCCTAAACTGGATAGTAACGCTTTTCGCACCACAATATTCCTAAACTTCTAGAAATCTTTACATAATTGATTACTGCAAACAAAATTACATTATGTTTGTTATAAGTTTTGTATTTTTTACTTGCCCTGTTGGACAATGATTTTTTTAATTTAATTTAATGTCTGTGTCACGTGTCTTGAAAAAAAAGGTAAAAATTAGGTTCCGGCATTCTTTCCTGAAATATTGTAATTCCGGCCGGGGCTGGAATGACCTAAAAGTCCCATTGTCCGGCCGCAATTTACGTAAATATACAGCAATAAAATTCAATATACTTTTAAAATGTAATTGTTAAAGAATATATTTTAAAATGTAATTGTTAAAGAATATATTTTAAAATGTAATTGCTAAAGAATATATCAAAAAGGTTGTAATAATCTGCAACAATCTGATAAAAAAAATATCAAAGTTTTCTCAAACTAAAATCCAAACACTTGCATAAACAGTGATAAAAATTGATATTAAAGCTTCTAAGTATAAAGTTACTATAATTATTGCTAACTGTTGGAGATCTGGCCAAAAACGACAGAAATATACCAATAAATTTTTAGTTTTGCTTTTAAACTCCAATATATATATATATATATATATATATATATATATATATATATATATATATATATATATATATATATATATATACATATATATATATATATATATATATATATATATATATATATATATATATATATATATATATATATATATGTGTATATATATATATATATATATATATATATATATATATATATGTATATATACAATATTTGTAATATTTTTGATTTTAAAAGTAAAACCAGTAAAATTATGAATTAAAGTTTGAAAGTTTAATAGGTCTAATTAATTTCATTTTTAAAATTTACTAATTTAAGTTTATGATTTTAGTTTAACCACCAAGCACCAGGAACCAGTGACGAGTTTCGTCGAACTCTGCGATATGTGCGTCCAGGAAATGACTATATACCTATGATGGATGTATTTCAAAGGGTAGATGTAAACGGGGTTAATGAAGCCGCTCTGTTTACTTGGCTCAAGGTAAATTTTTATTAACATTGTTAATTATATATATATTTTTTTGTTCATTTTAAAAAATCATTTTGCTTTTTTGTACATTTCAAAATAGCTTTTGGTTATAAAATATAAATTTCCCAATATAAAAAATAATATCAAAAAAATAAGGTAAGTTATTGTTAACATTAATAGTGTTTTTGTTTTTTGGTCTTGAGTTAAAAAAAAAAAAGCATAAAAATTGACAATATAAAATAAATAAGATTAAATGAATAAAAGAACGGTAGGGCTCGTAGAAGACTGCGTTATTGTAAAACGCTAAAAATAAACGAGTATTCAACGCGTAAAAATAAACGCGTTTAAATTTTTTTTGTAAATAAAAAAGTTAAAATTAACATGGTAATGATGAACAAGATGTTTACATAAATTAATAACTTTTGATACAGTATATTCTCTTTAAGGCTATATATAAATAAAGATATTATATAAAAAAGAAACTAACTTATAATTTCATTTTCGTCAATTTTTATTCTGATTTTTTTTTTCTTCTAAGGTCATTTTCTATTTGTTTACTATATTTCCAATTTTTTTCTTCTTCTTAAATAATCATTAAAACGTATCTTGCTTTGTTTACACCAGCCCTTAAACTCAACACTTTGTTTTTTCTTTTTTCCTGGCATTAATATTGACTTTATTTTTTTTAATGTTGTTTAATTCTTCAACAAATCCCTTATATATTCATTTAGTGATTGGATTAAATTCATCCAATGATTCGTTTAATTTGATTGAAATTAGTCAAACTCATCTCATGATTGGATGAGACTAATATCCTATAGATAGACTTAATCTACTTTTAATGCAACATAATTAAACAAGTACTTAGATTTATTTTTTTATTAAAATGTAGAGCTTTTCTTGACTTTTCTTCCGTTATTTACCGCACTTTAAACACAGCATTCCGATACAAAAATAAAAATTACAAGATAAAATATAAAACTATATTAAAGATGAAGTACTTACAATAAAATTAAAAATTTTACAATACAACTAACAATATAAATTGACTAAAAATAGTTATAATAATCTCCAGAATATGATTTATTTAAAAATCTGTTGATAAGTAGAGAGTAAAAAGAAAGTTTACCGAAAATTATTAAAAGTATATTATTCCATCATCAGTTGTAAAAAAGTATTATAACTAAAAAAAAGTTGTAGATAAGATTTGTTATAGCTACATTGTAAAGCTGAATCTAAAAAAAAAATTTCTTTTTTAATTGTTCATGGACGAAGGGATTGGGTCCAATTAGATTTTTTAATTGTTTAGACAATTAAAAGTTTACAATTCCCTTATCTCTATTGAACTCTTACATATTGTTTAGATGAAATTAAACATCTTTTAATAAATTCCAATCTCTGCAATATTTTCGTAAAACATTTTTTTATTGAAAAAATGAAAACACAGTTTGGAGTGGCAAAATGCCTAAAAACGTCATATCTGAAACAATTAGTGTTTCTGGTGCCCCCCCCCCCCCATCCTGTATTGAAAATAAAAATTGCTCACAAAATTTGAAGCACAAAGTCTAATATTTTTTGTTTTAATTTTCTATTTCATTAGTTAATTTACATATTAGTCTATACAACTATAAAATTATATAACATACACAGCTCAGAACTTTATTTATCGTTAACGCTCTCAATATTCTCGTCAGCATCTTACTCTAGATATACGTCAATATTAGCGTCAACTTTATAGAAATCAGGTTTGCAGAAATTATTATATTATCCTTTAATCTATAGCACTAAACACTTTCAAAAAATCAATGTTTTTTGAACAAATAGAAAATGCCTTCAATTAAAAAGAATGACAGGTATGAAAAACTAAAGTAAACTTGCTTTGGTGTTGTTCTTGAAAGAAAAAATCAATTTGTTCAAAGTTTGCCCCCCCATTCACAAGGTATCGGTACATGCCCAGGAAAAAAAGTTCTATAGAATTTCTATAAACTTTTGAAACATATGGCTTATAGAAATTCTATATAATTCTATAGAAACTCTGTTAATTTCAATAGAAATTTATATAGAACTTTTTTTTCTATTTTTTGTTTAGAGAAAAAAAAGTTCTATAGCAATTCCTATAGAGGTTAATAGACATTCTTAAAAATTCTATAAAATTTCTTTAGGCTATATGTTTCAAAAGTTTAAAGAAATTGTATAGAACTTTTTTTCCTGGCTGCTGATTAATACTTTATTTATCATTTGCAACTAACTTGTGCTCAAAATTGTGAATGCTGGTAACCACCCCTCTCAATGTAGTTAGAGGATACTAGAACTCGGTGTACGTAAGGCGATTTACAAAATATTTGATTTCTTTTATTTGGAATTAGCATGATTTTATCAACGTATTATGTCCAAACAAGAGCTTTAGATGATAGAATTTTTTTTTCTTCAGGTTTTTTAATATTTAAAGAAACCCTTTTTATATATAAATTTCAAAACCTTTATACTACCCCTAATAGTAAGTTAGAGAATACCATTTAGGAGTCTTAAGATCACTTTAGCTCATCAGCGTTAACATGAACTTTGTAAAAACCTTTTGAAAAAGTGCATTAACCCACTATAGATCCTAGTTCTAATCGGTTCTGACATATATTAACAATAAATAATTGTCAAAAATACAATATTTATTGGGTCGTAACATAAGTTCGTAGAGTTTTGCGTTAGAGTTATTTTACAACGATTTATTTTGTTTTTTAGCAAAATGTATACATTCATTCGAAAGAGCTCTTTCTCGTCTACAAAGCGGTTTTATTTGTTTTTTGAATAATTTAATTGTTTGTCTTTTTTCTGGCTCAGAAATGGAATACCCAGGAGGAAAAAATCAGCATTTTCGACATCTGCTTTTCTTTGCTTTTCATCAAGGTCAAAAGCAGCTGAAGCCGCTCGGGACATATGCAGTGTGTACGGGAAAAGTGTCTTAGATGTGTCTACTGCACAAAAATTGTTCGTAAAGTTTAAAAATGGCGACTTTGACTTTGAAGACAGGCCTCGAAGCGGACGACCTGCAGAATTTGACGAAGGGCATCTGAAGGCACTATTGAAGGAAGATGGTCGCCAAACAACTCGTGAATTGGCTGAAAAAATGAACATCAGTGCAATGACAATCTCTCGCCACCTTCAATCAACTGGTTTTACTCAAAAACTCGGAGCATGGGTACCTCACAAGCTCAACAAAGAAAACAAAGAAAAACGGCTCAACATCTCGCCCGCCACCAAGCAACACATGGGCACAAACAGCGCTTTTTGCATCGAATCATCACGGGAGATGAGAAATGGTGTCTGTACGTCAATGTGAAGCAAAGAAAGGAGTGGGTGGCCCCAGGAGAGGCGCCGAAGCCGAGAGTTAAGCAAGATCTTCACCCAAAAAAGGCCATAATCTGCGTTTGGTGGGACTGGGAAGGCATGGTGCACTGGGAAATGAAATGCTCGAACGAAACGCCACTGCCAACAAGGAGGTCTACATTGCTCAGCTGAACCGTGTAAATGAGGCTATTCGGCTGAAAAAACCCAATAGACAAGGTTAAGTCATCTTGCTCCACGACAATGCCAAGCCCCATATTGCCCAAGTCGTCAAAACAGCACTCCAAGAGCTTGAATGGGAGGTTCTTTAGCATCTACCGTACTCTCCGGATCTTGCACCTACTGACTATCACCTTTTCCGCTCTCTATCAAACCAAATGAGGGGTGTTACCTTTGATGGCGAAGAGGATCTTAAAAACTGGCTCAACAACTTCTTCGACACCAGACCGACCGATTTTTGGCATAACGGCATCAACAAATTGGTCGAGAGATGGGAGGAGGTCGTAAACAGTAACGGAGAATACATCATTGATTAATTTATTATTTTAATTATTATTTTTGGTTCAAATAAATCTTTATGAAAAAACTCTACGAACTTAAGTTACAACCCAATATTTTATGATACCACAAAATTTATCATTTTTTTTTTCGTCTTTTCATAATTCACAGACCTGATCGTTTAACGGAAATATGTTGTAGTCAACAAAATATCACACAGACGCTAAAGTATTTTAAAACTGTCTTAACTACACTGAGAGACTAATAAATATTAAAATTTATAAAGCTTAAATTTTCAATTTTAAAATTTAGTACTTTTTTAGTTGTTTTACAATGTATAAAAACGTACCAATCTTTTTACGGATATTTTTTTAAAACGGCCTATTTGATGCAGATTCTAATGACGTACGTGTTAACTTTTTTTTGTTTTGCTATACTTTAAATGATAATATGATAATTAATGTAAATAAGTTTCTAAGAAATATTTTCAAATATATAATTATATATACATAAATATAATCTAACTTTAAATAGCTACTATAAGTAAAATTAATATTTTAAATATCAAAAAAATCTTACTAAGGGTGTTAATAACAGAACCCACTATCAGATATTGACCATGTGATTTTCCCCATTTTTTTTATAGAGTCGTTGTGAAGCACCCTCTGGAATAATTGTTGATTCAAATTATGCTTTATGGAGTCCAATTCGCTCAAGAGATATATATTGGAACTTTGAAAAGTTCTTAATAGATAGTAACGGATTTTTAGTGCGAAGATACTCAGCCAATAGTAATCCATCAACATTTGATAGCGATATTAATGAACAGATTACTAAATGTTTAAAGTTATACCATAAGTTGCCATGAACTTAGTTGTTTGTGTTTTACTTTTGTTTTTATATTTTAAAGTAATAACTTGACTTGTATTTAATATATTCGACTTTACCAAGTGAAAACCTTTTAAAAAGCAACAAAGCTGTAAAAGGTTCGATGTAAATGACAGTTGTTTTAGTATATGTGCATTTATACGTTCAACTGTTTATTTAGGTAAATAGATTTATAAATATAATGTTGATTTTTTATTGTAGTTTTTATTTGTCTAAAAGTCAAAAAGGGCAGCAATTTATTTATGATTAATAACGCACTAAACGAAGAATAATTTAAAGATCCTCTATGTCCCTTTTATTTTTCAATTATGAAAACTTTCAATTATTTTTATTTCTTCTAATTGGAGGAAGAAGAAAAAAAAAAGGTAAAATCAAAAGTAGAAACTAAAACTTTTTCTCCAAATAACTATGGTAATAAAAATATTTTTTTAATATAGAAAGTTTTTTTAATATAGAAAGTTAACAGAGCGGGGCATATAGGGACACTAAATAAACAAATGCTAGTTGCGGATAGACTAATCATAGTTAACACTGTTTTTTATAAGTTTTCTAAAATTAATTGATATAAGAAAACAGAATAACAATAAAAAAATTTCTAAAAATAACAACCAAAGTAACGAAATTCTAGACGAGAAAAATTTTTACATTTTGCAAATGGGTAAGGCAAAGCTTGATAGTTAAAAAGCACAAGTTATTTTTTTATTGTAAAGCTTTAAAAGTGATAAAAAAGGCATTTTATCATTTAAACATGTTTGGACAATAAAATCTTAAAAAGGTAACATACTTATACAAATCACACGCCCTTACACCATACACCACAAAAAACAAATAACAACTAAAATAAAAAAAACCTTTTGTGTTTTATTATAAAACACTCTTTAACAAACAAACTTAAGAAATTGTTCTAAAATTTTAGATCACATAAGTCATATTTATAAAGCTAGCGCTGTAACCACTGCGCCACAGCCGCTTTTTAGTGACCAAGAGAAAAAAACTAGGTCGCATGGCAAAAACTGGGTATTTTACCCTATGTTATATAAACAAGCATAAAAGGCAGACTTACGCGGAAAACATCTACTTTTTATTGTTCAACAACAGTAATATACGTAAAAGTAACAACTCGAGCGTTTTATTGCTTTTTTAAATAAATGCGCATTTGAAATTAATAAGCCAGATTATAATTTGACTAAAAGATGTGTATTTTTTGCTTGTGGTTCTTTATTATTTTATATTTTTGGTTAAAATATTAAAAGAATACCCAAATACTACGATGATAAAACGCATACTTTTGAAACAAAGAAATGAATTTTATAACACTACATAAGTTTATTGCAATAATTTTTTTTTGAAAACTTCCTAAAATTTTGAGCAAAATTTCATGGAAAATTTCCGAAACTTTCAACTAAAAGACAGAGGTAAGCTTTCTTATCAAAGCTCTATTTCAACGGTCTCCTTTAAGTCAGCAAACATGAAAAAGATTATTCTTTCAGTTCAAGACAACCTGTCCAAACCCAAACCCTCAGTCGATCTATGTACACTCTCTGTGCCTATGGCTATATAAATCAGTCGATACATGTACACTGCGATGCACCTATCCCTATATTTTCCAATTTGCCTATCCCCTAAAATCCCGGGTTTTCGGACGTCAAGGATGCTCAACGTCAAAATATGGGTTTGACGGACGGACTAAGTCGGACGCTGCGTAGATCCTGAAACGTCCGTTCCGGACGTTGCGTAGAACCTGAAACGTATGTTCAATTAATACGTCCTTGGTCAAACTAACACGATGAACTAAAAAAAAATCATGTGACTTGTTAAAGCGTTTTGAATTCATCACAAATTTATTGCGTCATTATTAATCAAATAAGTAAAAAAATTTAACTCTATTTCTCTGGGTCAGCGCAGCTAAGTGGATACTTCGGTAAAATAATTTGACTTTCTCAAAATATTACGGTTCGAATCCGTAATCCGCTAGCGCAATCTGACCTGTAATTTTTCTTTAAAGAAACTTTTTTGTGCTGTTTTTAATAAAAACTCTATTTTTTTTTTAATTAAACACAAAAAGCAAATGTTTTTAGGTCGCAACTTTATTTATATTCAATATTAGAAGAGCATCAATAAAGAGTGTTTAGCAACTTAATTATTACAAGTTAGTTAAAGCTGATAATTCTTCTAGGCGGCAAAGTAACATTCTGTCTAAAGGTCATAATAGATCTGCCTCCTAAAATATTTTTATATCAGTTCCCTTCAAAGTTTAATACTGCTTACTGACTTAATAGTAATTATCATTATCATAGTGGAGTCATATTTATTTAATTTCCATTTAAATTGCTTGTTAATTAAAAAACAAACATTTGTGTCAAGTAAAAAGAAAAATTTTGAGATTACCAAAATGAGTAAAAGTTTGAGATTTTATATTTCCGAATTACAAGCATAAAGTTTATCCCGTATTTGTGAATGCAATATTTTGAAATATTTCTATAATAGAATTTGTATTTACTTAAAGTACTTTTGAAACGTGACAAAAAGACAAAAGTTTATTTTTACCCTCTCATTTTGTAACAAAGTGTTATTTGTAACAAAGTTATTTTTACCCTCTCATTTTGTAACAAAGTGAGAGGGTTAAAAATTGAGAGGCTTAAAAGCAAAATTTTCTTGAGTGGTTTAAAAATATTGATAACAATTGATCAACAAAGTTTGTTGATATTATTCTGGAAGATAAAAAAATAATTATTTTTATTTGGTTATTCTAGAAGATAAAAAAATCAACAAAGTTTGTTGATCAATTGTTATCAATATTTTTAAACCTTTCAAGAAAATTTTGCTTGTAAGCCTCTCAATTTTTCTTTTTAAACTGCCATTTCAGAATATCTTTTAAAGACATTAAGGAAGTTGATAATGTAAATGTTATTGATTTCCTAATAAATTTTGGATTAATAGATAAAAATTTAGTAAGATTATAAGACGGCTGGAGTATTTTTATACCATTTAAAATTTTTTTTATTTTTTTTAATACAGCAAAAAAAAAAAAAAAACAATATAGATAATGTTTAGTTGAACATTTCCCTTTTTTTTAAAATTGTTTTTAATAGGCCTGGGGTACTGCTTATATTTTTAAAAATCTTAAAAATATAAGCTGTATCCTAGACCTATTAAAAACAACTTTAAAAAAAGGGAAATGTCTGAATATATAATTTATGTATGGTTTAAGTTACTCTTAATAAGAATAACTTAAGCCATATATAAATTATATATTCAGACATTGTAACAATTAAATGGTGTTTATATTCCATATTTTTTGTTTTTATGTCACAGATATTATGATTTTAGTTTATTAGTAAAGAATATATATATATATATATATATATATATATATATATATATATATATATATATATATATATATATATATATATATATATATATATATATAATTTAAAACTATTTTGTTTAATAGTTGGCTGATGTGTTACAGAGTGAGCAAGAGTTAATTTTAAGATTTCATAGTAATATCAAATATAGTTTTAAAAATGTCCCCCTTCCCTACACACAATTAAGTTATGTTACTAAAATTAGTGTGTTGATTTTATGACTGTTGTTGTAGTATTTGATTTTAAATAAGATATAAATAAGCACAAAACACACCTAAGTAAAACTATTTTCTGTGCTTGTGTAATATGTTACTCTGAACTGAAATATTAAACAAATACAGAAAATACTTAGTACTTATATGTTTTATGTCTTAATCATCAATATGTTTTTTTTTTTTTTTTTTTTCATTTCAATGTCTTTTTAATTAATTATATATTTAATGCAGTAAATTTAAAAAAAAAAGTATTTCTAAAAATAATATTAAAACATAGAATATTACTTTCATATATTATCCATTCATTTTAAATTTTTCTAATATATTCAGGAGTATGGACAAAAAATTTAGTTTCATTTGAAAAACATATAACATTAAGAATTGTTCTTTTATTGAAAAATAAAAGAACAATTCTTAATGTTATCTGGCATCAATTGAAAAAAGCAGAAAAGAACGAGTAAATTTAATTGCTGTCGAAATATGTAAATTATGTAACAAACTCAACATTCCAAGTATTTATAAAAATCAGCTAGAAGACAAATTGAAAAAAAATTTTGAAAAGCCTGGTGAAAAAGAAAAATGCTCTGTTTTTGGAGATCTTTTTGATATCACCAATATTAAGGGCATATAAATATGTTCGTGTTTCGGAGTTAAAGAGTTGAGAGAGGGTTGTACCACGATTTACAACAACAACAACAACAACAACAAAAAATGAGTAGCCTCCTCGACTGTAGTTGCCCCCTCGGGCCTTGGGGACGTGAAAAATTAAAAAAAAAATGTGGCTTCTTTTGGAAGATAAAAAAATTAATAACGTACAATTATTAAGTTCAGAAGAAGTTGGTCACAGTACCAACACACAAATGTCATTACATCCTTCAAAAGTCAGATTTTGTAATGCAAAAGATGCAACTTTGACAAGCAAAGTAAATAATTTTCCAGTTATTAGTTCAACTGCATCAGAAGAAAGTGGTTCAGATTTAGATTCACAAGACTATTACAAACCAGTGGAAAATAAAAAATCAAGAAAGAGACTATACAATAGAATTTTAATTATTAGCATTTAATCTTGTGTCCTTACATATGAATCCTTATATATGAAAAATCATATTATTACCGAGGTGGGGTGGGGGTGGGGAATATTTTTGCAACTAGACAATCAAAAAACCAGTTTTTCTATCAATTGCTCAACATTTTTCAGGTTATAGAAGTATGGCCACAACAGATTGAAAAATTGTCATAACCCTAATGCACATACAACTGCAGAAATTCTGAAAAAACTCTCCTATTTATGACAAAATTCTTCTGTAGGTTGTATAAAGAAATGTTGTATATTCTTTTTTTTTATGCAGTAATTCAGAAATTCTGAAAGAATTTTTCTATTTATGACAAAATGTTTATGTAGGATTGTATAAAGAAATATTGTATTCTTTTTTTTATGCAATAATTCAGAAATTTTGAAAGAATTGTCCTTTTTATGACAAAATATTTATGTAGGATTGTATAAAGAAATATTGTATTCTTTTTTATGGAGTATGCTTTTTTTACAATATTTTGGCTGCATTTCATTTTACAATTGTAATAACCATATGAATTATTGTATTATTAGTTTTATATTATTTACTTTTCAAATACAGGGTTAATATATATATATATATATATATATATATATATATATATATATATATATATATATATATATATATATATATATATATATATATATATATATACATAATTTAAATACCATTTACTTTACATTTTAATTACAGTGTACAGTAGATGTGGTTCTGCTATATTAACATGTTAGAAATAAAACTTCTAGCTATTTATGTGGTGATCAAAGAAGCAGCTAAAAGATGCAAAAAATATTTTGAATATTCAAAAATGATCAGCAAATGTTTAGAAGAAACATCAGGCAATAAGAAACAACAGGGTAGTTTTATTTTATATTATTTTTTTGTTATTATAAAAACAGAATTGTAATTTTTAAATTTAACAGAAATCGACACTAGTTAAAGTAATTAATGAGTTTCATAAATTTGATAATTATAGCAAATATTGACTTTAAAACTTCAATTAATTTTAATGGGCAACTAATACTGCTATTTTATGTGTACTAGTTTTATTCAATGTATTATTTGGCACATTTTTACAAACGATGATATTTATTTTTTAGATTAGAATGTGATGCTTGTTGCATTGTTGTTTACCACCATTATTTGAAAAGAAATAAGATTTATTGTTTCCCTAACCAAAGTAATATCTTCAATATGCTTTTTTTTTATATAATCAATTGTTTTAAGTTCAAATTTGAGACAATATGGTCTTTCCTTTGTGTTTTCTCATAAATTTGATATATTCTGATTTTTATCATTTTTTATTACTTATTAAATATTTTATTTAAGTGGAACTAATCTTATTTGTACTAGCTGTCATGACCCGTAAGATACGAGTTGTGGTAAGTCTAATCCACACTTAACTATATCTAAACTTGTTCCTAATTAAGTTTTAACACTTTAATTTAATTTAGTAAACGGCAAAAAATAAATCACTTTAAAGTTCTGGTAGTTGATAAAATGCAAACTTTTTTGCAATCCATAAATCTATTGCTTGTTAAATTATAATTAATTTTAAAAAAAAAACAGTCCGATTTAAATAAAATATATTGAATACCATTATATTTAATTTTAAAATTTATAAGCAAATGTTTTAAATATCATTTTTGTTGTAGTCATTAAAATGTCTTGGATCGCTAAAAAGTACGCAGTTTGCATTTTACTAACTATCTATAGTTCTTGCCTTTTGGTTAATTTTTATTTAGCATACTTTTTTTTCACTTTACTGTTTAGTATTTTTACTTTTTACATTATTACTCATTTACTTTAATATTTTATTTATTTATAACTTTATTTTCAGTTGATTGTTTGCAATAGTTTTATAATCAACAAAAAACTAATTAAAATCAACACACTAAACTGTATAAGACAATACAAACAAACATACATATCGTGAATAAAAAATAAATAAAATAAAATAAAAATAGCTTACATAGTAAATAATATAAATGTCAATAAATACAACAAGTTGTTTATTTTGGACATAAAAAATAAAAAAAGTTATTTTTGACAGATTTTACAAAAACAAGATTTTCTGTGCCATTTTAAAATACTTTTTTTGAACATCTTTAGACAATTTATTGACATAGTTTCTTTGTCTAGGGAGTTCCATAGGGAGGTTGCTCTATATAAGTTACTTTTTATGAACTTATTTTTAGAGACTATGGGTGGGAGTACTAATTTTTTACTACATCGAAGACTTAAAGACAGGGATTTTTTGAAAAAAAAGATCTAACATAAAATCTGGATTTCAACCATTTATAGATTTAAAAACTTCAGTTAACAAAAACCTTAAATTTCTAAAGTGGATACTTGGGATATTTTCTTTTTTTTGAATTTCTTCAAACGGCAGATCAAATCTTTTATAGACAATGTGAAGCCCTTTTTGATGAATTTTATTAATTAGGTTATTATTATACTTTGAACAAAACATCCAAATCAAAGGACAATAAGAAAAATTTGACATTATAAAAGCATTGAATAAAACAGTAGCTTGTTTTACTGATAAGAAGCTCCTTATTCGTGAAAGAGCAAAGCATTTACTATTCGCTTTTCCACACAAACTTTTAATATGATCATCAAATTTCAAATCCTTATCAATTGTAACCCTGAGAAGTTTAACCTTAGAGGAAACCATGATTTTTACATTTTCAACCATTAAAAATTGATCTTTACAATTTTTTAAGCCAGCTAAAATTGAAATTTGTCCAGATCTGCAACCTTTTATTCAAAGTAAACCAAGAAATCACAAAAAGAAAGAGTGTTGTAATAAATAAAAAAAGCCAAGAAAATATATGAATAATAAAGCAAAGAAAATATATTTTAGTGAGATAAATTTATTCAAGTCTTCCATTACATCGCTATGGAATATATGCAAGCTTTTTCTTTCTAATAAATCTGGTAATTCAAAAGATCGCATAAGGTTGATTGAACATGTGGAAACTATTTCGGATAATTTTTAAATTTCAAACATTTTCAACTTTTATTTTACACACGTTGCATAGTCTCCTATAAATAGTGAGATAAGTTATCGTCCTTTTCCTTGCAATGTACATGTGTCTGTTGAATCTGCTATTATAAGATATGAAAACCATCCCAGTATTATAGACATTAAAAACAAATCCAAATTAAATGCTTGGATAAAGGAGGTTTAAGTGGCGCTATGCTTATGGATTTATCAAAGGCATATGATTCTTATGAAGGAAGGTTATGGGTTTTCTTATGATAGCCTCAAACTGTTATTATCTATGATTGTAATTTTCTGCATATTTAGATATGGAATCTGGTGTACCTGAAGGCTCAATATTGGGACCAATTTTCTTTCTACATAATAAAAGTATCTTTAGCATATAAGACAGCTGCGTAACATTTCAGGTGTTTTTGGAAACTATGGTAATAGTATTTTTGCTCTCTCTCTCATAAGGATTTATTTGAAAAGAAAATTTGGACATTGAAAAATTGGCCGAAGAGATCTAGTCATTTTAAATAAGGTAGCTATTAGATATTTTTTATAAAAGCTTTTCTTTAAAAAAAACTCTTAACAAATTTATTCAATTAAGCTGTTTTTACTGCGGAATTTGGTGAATAAATTTTTAAATCTGTTGTTTTTGCAATCAATACTTAATGCAAATGGAAACCGTCTTGAGCGTACAAAAGGTGATTAAAGTATAAATGGTTCCCATTCGCATATAAAAAGATAACAGAAATATAAAAAAACAAAACAAAATAGCCAATATATCCATTCAAAACAATAATTCCAAATATAAAAAATATAGAAATTTATTTGAGAAACAAAAAAAAAATTTTCTTAAAAAATAAAATTAAAAAAAAAACTACAAAAAAATTTTATATTCAACATAAAAAAGTATTAAAAATACTTTTAAAAACAATTTAATTTAAAACATTCTTTTATTATTATATATCTTTTAGTAAATGGTATGAAGATTATCAAGCTTCGTTTATGCTTTTTGAATACAATCAACATTTTGAACATTTCTTAAATGTAGGAGCTTTCTAAATCAGTCTTAACTTATTAACTTATCTGAAATAAAGTTTAAGCAAATAAAACAGAGTATAATATAATAATCTAATTATATAAGGGCGATACATAAGGTTCAATCTTATGTGATGCTTCAATAATCAAATGTAAAGTAATATCATTTTTTTTTTTATATATGTTGTTTTTAAGGTACTTTAAAAAGACCTGACAAGATCACCATTGAAAAGCGTTTAATCATTAAGGTCATGCCTACTATCATACTTACTAATGGATTTGAAATTTAAAAAATTTAAATTATACATTTCTCATATATTAACTGCTTTATTAGGGAAGAGAGAAAGGTTCTGCTACCTACACTACCCTGTTGGTTCTTTCTGAATTTGCATAAGTAAAAAATGCATCCTTTACTCTAATAGTTAAATGTACTGTAATAAGGAATTATTATTTTTAGCTAAATTTAAGAAATTATTATTTTTAGCTAAATTTAACACTATTAAGTGCTTCAATTAGTTAAAAAGATTAATTGATAGAAGTGAGGAGCATAGACCTAACATGCCTGAATTATTCCGGTCCTGATATCTAAATATTGTTATTGTTATTATTATGATTATCATTTATTTCTATAATAGTAGTATATAATTTTGTGTATATATATATATATATATATATATATATATATATATATATATATATATATATATATATATATATATATATATATATATATATATATATATATATATATATATATATATATATATATATATGTAAATGCATATGTATATATATACACATTCGGTGGCTCTTAAAACAACATTTTTGAAAAAAAGCTGATCTTACCCTTTTAATTTGTTTTATATAATACTAAAACATTAGGTTTAAAAATTTTTTGATCAAAAAATATTTTTAGGAGTAGCTCAAGACCCTTTAAAATTTCAACCTTAAAATAAGCAAAATTATATAAAAAATTCAAAAATAAAAATAATTTTTTCAGATATAAACGCATAAAACTATCGTTTTTAAGCTGAAAATAAAAAGTCAATATTTTCAAGTTTTTTGAGAATAGTTATTTTAAACATGTTTTTAATGTAAATGATTATTTTTTTGAAGTTTTTATTTAATTTTGCTTTTTTTGATTACTAGGTTAACATACTATAGAAGAACTTTTTTTTTTAAATATTAAGCACCCGTCAAATTTTTAAGGGCTTTGTGCTACCCCTGAAAATATTTTTTGTTCAAAAAAATATTAAACCTAGTGTTTTAGTATTACATAGAACAAATTAAAAGGGTAAGAGCAGGTTTTTTTCAAAAATATTGTTTTAAGAGCCACCCTAATATTTGTTAAGTGTGAAAGATGTTAAGTTTGAAAAATGTAAATGAAATGAATGTATATGAAATATTTATTGCTTTATTTACGCAGGAATTACCACTTAGACCAGTCATATTGTTCCAAAACAATTATTGAAATATATTGGTTGATAAAAAAAGTTTTATTTTATATTTGCACTTTTTCACGAAGCTCTCTAAGCATGTTTTGCTACATTTTAGATACTCATTGTTGAATTCCTAAAAGTACTGTCCCACACGTGCCAATTTTGTGCTTTGGTGGTAAAGAAAAAGTGCCGACATGTTAGTAAATGAGACAATCAACTTTTGCACTTATGTTTATATGACTTTTTCTGTTTAAATGTTTATAATTAATTTTTTTTTTTTTTTTGTCACTTTGTCAACTCAAATAAACTTATCTGAATATATGCAATATTTTTAATATTAAATTTAAAACTAGCTTTAACTTAATAGTTCTTAAAAACTTTATAGTGTCTAATTTTTGTTTAGTTTTTATTAGTTTCAAAGTTATATTGTTTTTCAATTTGTTACGATTTATACTGTAGAACATTACTTTATTGTTGAACAACATTTATGATATCCTTTTTTTGATTATTGAAATTTTTATTTGTGCTATTTAGTTGCTTTTTTTGAACGTTACTTTATTTTACTTTGATGATAAAAGATTTTAAACATTATTGCAGATTTTTATTTATTGTGGTTATACAATGTGGTTAACACGATTACCCAGTTCATGTTGCATGCAAAATTGTTTTTTAATTCAGACTGTCAAGTTGTCTTTTTTTTAATTTTTTCCAGTTCTTTTTTATTAATTTATTTTTGTCATTTTTTCATTTTTTTTGAATTTTTTCAATTGAATTTTTTTTTCAAGTATTTGGATTGAGTCAAAGTATTTTTTATTTTAAGTTTATTTTTGTAATTTAAGTTAATTTTGTAATTTAAGTTATTTTTGATAATTTAAATAAATTTTACAATAAATATTTTTTTACTATATATATATATCTTTTATTTAAACTCAATGGTCTAAAAATTTAGAAATTACAGAATTTTTTACATTCATACATACACACATTCATACATATATATACACACATATTTTGGTTGTTAGATGTATAGTTGCTTTGATTAACTAGTGTACAAGTTATGTTTCCCATTTCTTATAAGACGCAATGTTCTTTGGGTAAAACTTTTTTTTTAAGCCGTGTTTGCAGTAGCTATCTTGAAACCGAAGTTGATATTTTGTCTTGTTGTTATTTTGGATTTATTCTTTGTCTTTATGTTTAGCGGATGATTTGGGTTTCGTAGAATACGCTTTAGGATTTTTATACATATATTGTCAGTGTTTTAATGTTATATTTTGTTCTGGCGATTTCTGGCGTTTTTAAATGTATTTGCTTTATTTTGATACTGCTTGCACACAGTAATGGTGCACTATGGATCAAGTGGCTATTTGCTTAATTTTGATACTGCTTGCACACAGTAATGGTGCACTATGGATCAAGTCCAATGCTTCGGTATATTGTTACTAGTAGTTCACTGTGAAAGCCTAGTTTTTTTAGACTTCTAATTAGGTACTGAGCTGAGGAGAATTTGGACTTGATGCGATGCCAGTGTTGGTCGGTGTTTATTTCAATATTTAAATCTAATCCTAGCTATTTATATGAGGTTACATTTTCGAGAGCTTTAGAGTTGATGGAAACGATTGGTGGTGGGCGTGTGTCGAGTTTGTTACTAGGTATGCTCATGATTTAGCATTTTGTTGTATTTAATAACATTTGGTTTTTAATGCACCAGCTATTAACTTTGTCGCATATTTCCTGTGGTAGGGTTGAGTGGGCTAGGTCTGCAACAATGTATGCAAGGATGTCATCAGCAAATTTGTAAAGTTCAGTATTGCAGTTAAATATATCGTTTATATCGAGTATGAGGAGTATAAAAAGAACGGATCCGAGTGCACTGCCTAGGATGACTCTAGCTTCAACAGGTTGCCATTCTGTTGCTATGCCGTTACTATAAACTCGCTGATATCTGGTCTGTAGGTACGATGCAATTCAGGAAATAAGCCATTTAGGGAGGTATATTGTTAATTTGGTAAGAATAAGTTTGTGATCAATTACGTCAAAGGCTTTAGCAAAGTCAAAGAATATTACATTTAAATTTTCCTTTTTGTCTTTAGCAAAATGCTAGTCTTTTGTGACACATACGATTGCATCCATTGTGCTTTTACCTGGTAGGAACCCATATTGTTTGTTGTTTTGTAAGATGGTGTGAGTATGTTGGATAATAAATTTGGCGACAACTCTTTCTAATGTCTTGCAGAGGTGGGATGTGAGTAAGATTGGACGGAAGTCTGACCAGTTACTTGGGTTTGGTAATTTAGCGGTAGGTGTTACGTTTGCAAGTTTTCATTGATAAGGCATAAATGAGTGAGACAAACACTTATTAAACAGAAGACTTAGAATATCGGAGATTTCAAGACGAACCCATTTGAGTAGTTTCGGGGAGATCTGGTTGGGTCCAGGAGACCCTTGTTTTAGAGGTACGTTTTGGTGGTTTGAATTAATTATAAAGCGAGATATGTCCGGCTGCTTTGAACCATTTTCTTACAATCTTTTTTTTAATTTTTTGAATTGTTAAATTGTTTTTATTACTTTTATTGGTTGATAAACTGAATTTTCAGTATATGTAAAGTTACTAGTATCTATTTTTAATTTTAAGTATATTAATCAATAGATGGGTCTATAATAATCAATAGATAGGTCAAAGCTTCAATGGTTAAATGGAATGAGTTTTGGCTGAAAAAGCTTGATAAAAGTCATGTTAAAATTAAATAGAGGTTGGTAAAAAAAGAGGTAAAATGGGTTTAGAAAAAAAACTCAGATTATGCAGTCTGTAAATTATGTTTTAATGATTTAAAATGGAGTTTAGTTGGTTTTCAAACACTTAATCAGCATTCTACAAAACCTAAACAAAATTAGTTTTTGATATTAGATTTTCAAAAACAGCTTGCGATTTATTTGTAGGTTCAAATAAAAACTGGAGATTGGGAGAGAAAGTAGCTCAATTAAAGTATTCTATAAATGATAAAATTTCAACTGCAGAAGCTATGTGGTTGTTTAACGTAGCTGAAAATGATCTTGCTTTAAGATATTGTGTTAATACATCATTACTATTTCAAAGAATGTTTCCGGATAGTATAGTAAGTCAAGGTTTTAGTATGAGCAGACAAAAAGCTTCGTATATATTTCAAGACGGACTCGTTTCTCCAACCTTTGTTGGAGAAATGTCTTTGTTCTATCAATAAGTCATAGTGCTATTACTTTAATATTTGATGAAACAACTACAACACAGCAAAAAAAAACAAAAACAAATGGATCTTCTGTCGTTTTTGGTGAGAAGAAGATAATCAAGTTGTTACAAAATATTTAACATCGCTGTTCTTTAGCCCAGTAATAGTGAATTTGGAAAAACTAAGTATTTTTATCTCAGTTGTTAAGAACTGTTTAATTATTCATAAGCTTCAGAGCGAGTAAAACTAAATAATGAAACATTAATGGCTCTGAGAACATCAAAGGAATACGCAAGATATAGTGTTGATACTCTCTCTAAAAATGTTGTTCAAGCAGTGCAAAATGATCACAGAATATGTAAAAAAAAAAGCTGAGGAAGAAAAAGAGATAGAATAAATGATATTCATAAGCAAGAACTTATTGATAAAGAAAAACAACACAAAAAAATGCTTACAAAAGTAAAAAAAAGAAACAACTAAAACCTAGTTCAAAGGAAAAAAATCTTAAAAATGATGAGAAAAATGCAAACCCGTAGTTTCAACTTGCTAGATGAAGCGACCAAGTCTGTGCAAAGTGCCATCAATAAAAAAGACATGATAGGTATAAAAATTGCCCATGAAATGGTGAACAGCGCAAAAAAAAATCTAGAAAATGCTACAACACAAAAATAAGTAATCAACAAAAAAGTTGAGTAAATATTGATTAAAAATGAAAAAGTGAAATGGATAGTTTAATCGTTTCAAAAAATCGCAGTAGTATTGTAAAAAATCATTTGTTTTGAACTTTTTGTTTATTTTGAATCTTATTTGGTGTTTTCTCTATTCTATTAATTTATTTTATATTATTATAGACATTTTTGATGATTTCTGATTTATTTTGTTTTTAAAAATAGTTGTTGAACTTTTCATTTTTTTAATGAAATTTGTCATTTTTTTCCATTTTTTCCCTCAAAATAATATATAAAAAAAGTCAAATATATAAAGAGATATATATTAAGAGCAATTTCTATAAAAAATAAAGTTTTTATAGAAACTCCAATAATTTTTTATAGATTATATGTTTCAAAAGTTTATAGAACATTTTTTCCTGGGATGAGTCTGGTAAATAACCATGAGTCAGTTCATTTTTTTCTTTTTTTCCGGGAATATTTGTCAGATGGCTTTTAATTTCCTTCTAACATTTATGCCTTTGGTTGACGACTTCATGATTGTTCTTTATGTGATTTACTGTATTTATATGTTTAAAACTTTAATGCATTTTTTATTGTCGGCTGATCATCAGCACATCTTAAGTAAAACGTAAAAATGATGTCGCGCTGATGTCATTTGACGTATTTTTATACGTTCTGCTAATGAATAGCCGCCTATCAAAAAGTGTAGAAGTTACATCTTAACCGATTAGATGCGAACGTTGCGTCAATGTTATTTTGACATCTTTGTTTAAGTCTTATTGATCAACCGTCTTATTGATCAACCGCCAATTTAAAAAATGTAACAATTACATCTTTGGCTGATTAATCGGCGATGTCGCGCCGATATCACCACGATACCTAAGTGTTATTAGGGAATATAGTGTGAGTGCAGCAAATGCATTTGTAAGCTAAATGGTAAGATGATTGGTAAGAAAATTATTAAGAAAAAACAAAGTTGATAAAAAAAAAAGAACTAGATATGGCGCAGATGTATGTAAATAGAACCTAATAGCTGCTATGGTGAGCCACGCACTAAACTGTTGCGCTATTGTGACAGTAAAGTAATGAAAAATAAATATATTAATAGAGTATTGTTAGTCATAAAATAAAAAATAAAAATGGAAGTATAAAGTAACAATATATGTATTTATATATAAAAAGTATATGTATTTATGTGTATACATTTTTATACTCCTATAATTTATATATATTGGCATTATATATTAGACATGCTACAGCGTGTTTGTTTTAACGTTGTTTGACTAAAGATTTTAATATTTACATTGCAACGAAGTTTTTAATGTGCAATCTTCACGTAGTATTTTTAGAAAAAAAATTTTGCTGTGATGTGGGTTTTAAATGCTGTTGTTAAAGGTGCTCTATAAAAAGATTGTGGTGACACCTGTCGTCCGTATCTTCTTTGAGCCCCAATCTGATTTTTTATATATTCTTTGTGTAGCGTAAAAGTTTTATTGTAATTTTATTATTTATTTTAATATGAACAGAGAAATATATATTATACTAACTAAACTTAAAGTACCATTAAATACCACATGCACATAATAAATAATTATTTATTACACATTTAATAATAGTATAATAAATAACTA